CGAACCCTGACCAGGATGTGAACTTGTACGCGAGCTGAGCACTTTGACCAGTGCAGGCCCTCGGCCAGTTCAGAATCAGAATATTTGTTTATACTGGAGGAATCTGATGAGCTATAAAGCTCTTTTATCATAGCTGTCCAATTACGACCGTCACGATTCGAACAGCCCCAATCAACGATCGGTAGATATCAATGAGACCGATAATCAACTCCTTCAACGTCGATTCTAGCCATGTGTGAAAAAGTTACTGGGAGTTCAGTGTCCGTTACCACATTTCTACTGCGTTTCGGAAAGAACTAAGATTTGGAAAAATGACTGGCATACGACAGAAATAGGTTTTCCGCTATCACCGAGTAACAAACATTTTAAATAGAGTAATAATACGAAAGCATCACGTAAAAATTAATATACACAAAGCCTGCATGGCTTTCTGAAATTCCAAACCTAAACCACATACAATTTACTCGTTCTATAGTGTACACACAACAGTGACTCGAAAGCTATAATAAGCCAGTTGCGCTCATCCGGCAAACGAAACTGATTATTTCGCTCAACGACGTATGCATAGGATCGCCTGCGTAATAGTCAATAAACAATGTATGTAAAGTATATACGTAAATAGATCAGAATCGAGCCAACAGATCGAATCGGAACGCGCAAAACGAGACGGTCCAAGACAAGAGGGAACAAGCAAGGCTAACTCACCCGTACGAAAGCGCGAGGCACTAAAACGATTCTCCACTCAAAATTGAAACCCCAAATTGTGACGGCTCACCATTTAGAGTGGTGCAATCGTTCCACGCCTCCTTCCCTATAAAGTGTCACATCTACCCTACATAAATACTGCATCGCTCTGTAACACACAACACTACCCCCCCCGCCCCCCCCCCCCCCCCATCAATCGACCCCTTTATAATCTTTACAATCACAAATCTTTTAAAAGTTACTTTAAAAAAAGACTCCGTATATCTTTCAAAATGTTCAGGTAAATTATTAAGTGACGTCTTGGAGGCGGCTCGGTGGATAACGCTGCGATGAAGCAATTAAGGGACACCCAACGGCATATGGCAACGAGCAGGAGTTACCTGTGAGAGTCAGTACAGAAAGTAGGTTACCAACAGGCGACCTGTTTTGATTGTGACCCCATCACGTGAGTGGCTCTCTCTCCAGACTCTCCAGTTGCCCTGCCACACAAAAACAACACTCAAAACATCATGAACAGGACCCTCGCGAAAATGGAGTCTCAATACTCAGCGAGGTGTTCCCTAGGTAAACAACAAGCATCGACATTACCCTACCGAGGCCATTGCATTTCTCCCTCTTTCAAGGCAAGAGGAGCAGGCCGTGCAATTGCGAGCTCCTCAGAAGGGCCTCCAATGCATGGGACTCTTCAGACGGCCCCCCGCCCCCCCTGGAGGTTATTTGGCCTTCACCGCCACTCTGGCCAGACAACTGGGAAGAGGTGGGAACATACCCACACTCTAACCCAACCATACGCGATCTGCTGGTCGACTATCTTCTACCCATACGAAGCCGACACATTCCTCGAAGCCGACTGGCGGACGCGACTATCCAATGTGGCGATGCATACGGCAGACAAGTTGCAAAGCAGAGCCCAAGTGGGAGACTTTAAATTGGTCTTTGCCCTGCTAGCTCTGGCTAATATTACCCTGCAGGTTATGTTTTTTTTTTCCTGCATTGTGGCTCTACGGATGAAATGCCCCTTACAAATGTAAATTATTATTAGACGATGGTGTTGGGGCACTGATAAGATTTTGGCATAAAGGCTTTACAAACCAAATCGTCACTTAACAAGTCTCCGTCCTCTTTATAAACACAGAGGGCTGTGTACCGCTCCTTCTGAGCCGTGAACTTGGTTTTGTTTTATACCCTCGGGACAACATCCAAGAGCGTTAAAACAACGTGAACGGTAATCGGTAATATCTGCATTTCTTATCGCATTTTTCTAAAAAGTTTCCTTTAAAAAAATCACATTAAACTCGTGCAAACAAGTCATCTCTCCATCTTCCCATCGAACGAGAGAGATAATACAATTACAATAAATATATTTTTTAAACATTCGGGTTCTGAAAAATTGTGGGTCGGGAATTCAGAAGGAGGAAGGGTTGTTAACATCAGAGGGACGACGCACCGCCAGATCGGAATTCCATGCGGGAACGTGGACGTTACGGATTTAAAAACGGCCAGTGAAGCTACTCACTCACGTGTGCTTTCAGGCAGGAAGTAGCACGCTACAACTACTATTATGACGACGTAGAGGTGTTCACGATTGTGCTGCCATGTTGCCTCTCCGATGATGGATTTTCGGGTCGTACTGCACATTAGTGTTGTTTGGCACAACGTCCGACGTTTCGCGCCACGTGCTGGGAGCTTCGTCAGGAACTCGACGGAGGAAACATTGGCGGCGGCAGCGGCAACGCGCGACGCTTTTCTTTAAAACCGTAAAAGAATGTGAGCTGTCACCATTCGGTTCCTGAAGAAGCTCCCAGCAGTTGCAGCGATATGTCGGACAACATGCTGCATGCGCAGTACGAGCTGAAAGCGCATCCGAGAGGGATTAATACTCCTATTGTTACACATTGGGGAGAATGGATGGAAGGGGCCTATGTCATCCAAGCAGTGCACGAGCCACCAGGCTCTTCCCGCACACCATGGTAAAATACATCCTTGGAATTCCTCTCTATGCTCGAACAACAAATATACAACGAGTTGGCAGTCGAGAGTAGGAAATGTTGGTGGAATTGCAACCTGCCAACAAGACTCATGACGATCGCGATGCTAACGAGGATCAATTCGACGATGGTTAACACCATTTCTCTTTTAACAGCACGACTCGGGACTGAGGCCAAGTGCTGTAGAGAGGGAAGGGATACGGTTAAGAATAACGACTGCTTACTTGCGACCAACCCCTAGAACTCAAGCAGGGTTGGACCTGGTTAATATTTGAATCGGGAGACTGCCTGGTCATACAAGGTGTCGTAGGCTCGGCTGCAAGATGGACCAGATGGGGACACAGCAATGGGCCTAATCTATCTGCGCTTAAGGCTTGCGTGTTATCCCCTCGTATGGTTGGGTTTTCTCCAGGTACTCCGGTTTCCTCTCAAATGCCAATCACTCATTATTGGAATTGCCCAAACATCCCAATTCAGGACCTTTCTGAAAAAAACCTCGTAACACTCAGCGAGGGTTTTCCTGAATCGAGGGCCTTATTGAATAAACTTCCAAAGAGTGTGCGCAATCTCAGATATATAAACTGATCACCATCTCTTGATCTCTTCCTATGCTTCTCTGTGGAGCCTCATACCTCCATCTGCAACATTTCCCAAATTCGGTCTTAATATTCTGGTTGAGGATTAGACCCAGGATAAAGGGTAAACAGTGCTCGGTATAACCTCAGGGGTTAGGTGTTATGAATAAACCAGTAAGACAGACAAAAGTATCGTCTCTGGACCCAGAAAAAATGATAAACTAGTGTTACGTGTAATACGTGAGAGCGAGAGACAGACCGAGGGCTAGAGAATGCGATAAATATTAATGTTGGGCATGCATTAAGAAGTTTGTGGCATTCGGTCAGGCAGCAAGGATCGCGAGATGAGGTGACGCTCAGGCTGGAAGTTGTGCCGGCTAAACAACGACGAATGTGGCTCAACGAAATAAACCTGGAGGCTGTGACAAGCAGCAGCCAGAGCAGACAATGGCTGGCAGCGAGCTACAACAGATTGCTTCTGGACAGTATGCCCTCGTCAATCACGAACTCGCTATCCGCTAATCGCGTCCGGAACTCTACACGACTGCGGCATTGAGGCAGAGAGAAAGTGATGCGATAAAGTTATGGGATAAAGTGATGAGATGATGTGATAATGCGCAGCATCGTCATATTTGAAGTTCATATTAAACTATTTAGATTTATTTTTTATTTACTTTATGATCAATTCTTTTTTTGCTATGATGTTCATGTATTTAATCGTTTAGTTATGTATTTACTTTCGGGAATTAATTCAAAACATAGGTTTTCGTAGAGCCAATATCATTATCCCAAAAAAATGTGCTATTCACTAGCATCTCCGGAACGTATGCCCTCGCGAATAATGAGGGAATACTGTACTCCGATTACCGTATACCATCAGGTCACGGGGGCAGAGCACAAACCTGCTTGCTTGCCGTTTACGATTGCTTTCTTTTTTTGTTCATGCGGGAATTATTCCAAATTAAACACGAGGGGGGTGGGGTCACATCGGCGGCCTGGGTTCACGCGGGGACAGCGGTGGCGAAGGTGGCAGAGGGCCGATGTCTCTACGGCTAAATCCACCAAAGAAACCTCACAGTCTCCCTGCTCAAACGAGCACGGCGCAGCGCTCAACTCTGTTGGCAGCAGTGGGTACCACGGTGGTGAGACGTTAACTACCTCGGCCTGGTTATACAGGAGGTTGCGGTTCAATCTCGACCCTGACAAATGGATTTTTCACCGAATCCTCCGGGATTTTCCCTCCACGTTTATAAAGATGAGTTTAGGAGTATTTGGCTGCTATAAATTCGCACGTGATAAGCCACTTTGTTGAGCTATCACTTATGGCCAGGTCGCTTCGGAAAAAAGAGCTGTATATATTTCAGTGGGCTTTACCTGGTAAAATAAAAATAGCTTAGCTCATTCTTGGTTCTTTCGGTAAAGTCACGTAGAAGGGAAACAATAAAATAATAAAAATATAAAACAATACAATTCTCACGACGTTTCGACTGCAACACAAGCAATCATCATCAGGTGATGATTTCTCATCATCAGGTGATGACTGCTTGTGTTGCAGTCGAAACGTCGTGAGAATTTTATAGTTTTATATTTTTATTATTTTTGTATTATTTTATTGTTTCCCTTCTACGTGACTTTACCGAAAGAACCAAGAATATGCATCCCTGCAGTCACGAAAGCTTTAAATCAAAATTTAGCTTAGCTTAGTTCAATTAGTCAACATTTTACATTTTAATCAGTCTCGATCTGTGGAATTTACATTTAGTCAAGGCTACTACATCTCGTGCCATCATTCTCTTCGCCTAGCTGACGAAAGCAGTCAAGCTTCAGTCAAATGCTCTGCGCTATTAAATGTTGTTGTGAGGTTCGTGCCGTTCCTCCACTCCTCAGCCAATCGATAAACTCAGTAAATTGTTCGGTACGGGGACTCTACTTACGAACGAGTTATGTTCCAGAGGTCTGTTCGCAAGTCGATTTGCTCGTAAGTCCAACTTTACTCCTGTCGATTCCAAACATGTTGTACAGCATGTACACTAAACACGGGGAATGGCTTGAAAATTTGTATAATCTCCTGTAGATGCCACTGGTTCATGTTCTGCATAAGCAGATGCCACCACCGCCATCTATTGCACGGCAGTTGAACATACGACTCTCGATCCGAACGAGCAACTCGACATACGGACAGGTTTGTTCGTATCTCTGAAAGTTCGTAAGTAGAGGAGTCTCTGTGGGCACATCGGGCGAGTTAATGAATGAAGCGAGGGGGGGAAGGGAGAATCGATCGTGACTGCGCCATGCACGCGCTTTGGTCAGCGGCACTTTGGCTCTCTGGTGGGGCGGCGGCCGCCGTTTCGTCCGCTCGCGGTCATCGTTGGCTAAAAAAATAAGACACCTGTTTCACGAACAATTTCGCCACTAATTTCGTGAACAAGGTCAACAACCGATTGGCAGCCTTGGGCCGTAGCAGAAATTCGACATTCCTATAAACGGGGACAAATCTCTTTGCTGGAAAACCACCGTTGGACGCTGCGGTAATAATTACATTAAAAAACTTTAAAAGGACGACGGACTCGGGCAAACCTTTCAACTGGGATTTGAACTTCGCGACCTCCTGCTCGGGAGTTGAGCACTGCAACCTCCGTGCGAGACCCCAGCCCCAGATTTACATCTCACCCCAATATCGGTTAATCTTAAGAAAGCAATCTCAATCAATCAATATTAATTAGGAGATTACATTCCTGTAAAAAAACACCAAAATGTGGGTTCATATTGTTAAACCCTCGAGTAATCGGTAATCAGAGTACTTTACTTTTACAGAGTGTCACCCTCCCGGCACTGCGGCGTGTGGCCACCGTTCATCAGCTCAGGTTGTAACCGACGCCGGCCCCTTTGGGCCTTTGCGTGGCGCCGACGGGATCGGAGCGGCCTCCCGTCGGCCCTCCCCCGCTAGCGTCGGCCCCGGGTGCCGGGCTCGGAATCCAACTCATGCCCTGCAGGGTGCGGCCACCCGCGCCGCCATCCAGGCCGGCGTGCGCGTTCTCGCTGACGAAGGCTGCGCACACGCACGTGGGAAAAACCAGAAACGACGATCACCGGCACAATCCGAGTCATCATCATTTGTCATCTGCACCTTGACGGGTTCATGCTCGCAGCAGCGGCTTTTGGGCTGGCCATCGAACAAAGGCGGCGGTCACCGCATCGCGCGCTTTCGGATGCGCTTCTGCGGCCGTCTGGAAATCTCTTCCTTCTGATATTAGGAAGCCACTGGAGCAATACACTTTTAAATCTAGTTTGAAATCTAATTTCTTTAAAACTGCTTTGTGTTTAGTTTGTTGTCCTTCCCCTGCAGCTTCTGTTATCACCATTAGCGACAGTACGGTGCAGAAGAAGTTCAACATACATATGTACATCAGGGCTGTGCAACCCTGGCCGGATTTATTTCTTACCGGCTGAGCAGAATGTAAAAAGTCTCGTGAACTATTAGTCGAATAGATTGGTTGAGTCACTGAGAGCCAAGTCAGAATGAAAACCGAGGACTGGATTTGTGCATCCCTGGTGTTAATGATAGCGATACTGTCATTGCTGTTGTCATCATATTTAACTGCAGATGTGAGTGAATCATCAACTTCATCATCATCATCACAACTGACACACACGCACACTGCAACATTATCACAGTCATCATCAGCATGATCAGTGCATATCCGAGTCCACATAATGACCAGCGTCATCATCTTCACCACCACCACCACTAAAACTGCACGTGATTCAACATCACCATCATTATCATCAGTGGCACACGTACACGAGTCTGCAAGAACACCAATACCATCACCGTTATCATAACCTCAAGGACACATAGGCAAGTCTGAACCACGAAGCATCATCATCGCCACCGGCATCATAGCCCTACAGGTTAATCGCTCACTCACACGCCGATCTCACTGTGGTGTGATCCACCAAAAGCACATCGCATCCAGCAAACACGCAGTGAACACGAGGGGGGTCAAGGGTCGAGGGTAAGAGTTCAGCAGAAGCAGCAGGGTGGTGAGGTTATACCTGAGGGCGCGACCTTTCGCCGTCTCTTCACGTCCTCGGCGCACAACGCGCCCAGCGTGACGCTCACCTGTCTGCCTCGCACACAGGTGAGCGCTGAGTCAGCATAACCGCTCTGCCGTGCGTACACACAGGTGAGCGCCGAGTCAGCATAACCGCTCCGCTGTGCCCATTGCATCCATATCCGTGTGTTGTGTGTGTAGATACAAGTGAGTGTGTGCGCACTTGTGGGCTGGGGGATTGTCGTAGGGATTTCAAAGCGCTACGAACACGGCGACCTGTGTTCAATTCCCGCTCATGGCCAACATCGGTGATGAATATCTGAACCGGTCCTGGGCCTCCCGTAGGTCAACTCATCCTCAAATGAGGACCTGGTGCGGTGTGTAAAATCGTCACTAGGGAGACAAAGGCGGCCAGGCAAGGTGCTAGCCACCCACCCCCTGGTGTTCCGTGCAGGCGTTCATAGGCACTCGCTAACGGCGCTTGCTCCAAGTCTGTTAAGGCTACGCGGGGGGGATCTGCGTGAGTTCGTGTGTGTACACGTGTCTCCGTGTGTGTGCGTGTTTGTCTTCATATGTGAACTTGCCGAGAGTTGTGAATGGCGTCCCCTCGGACGTCCAGCGAGTACAGAGCACCAATGTGGCTTAACTGCTGAAACGCACCAAGACAACGCAAACAGAAACGTTTATATGTTGACGTTAAACCTCCAATACAAACTACAATGCCAATATCAAGTGGAACATCAATACCAGCTGGAACACTGTTGATCAATAGGACCATAGCACAAATAAGACGGTTAATCTATTAAATAACTCCGAAGTGTCTCTATGTTCAATAAGCCTGCAGCAACGCTCGTCTTCCATTAGCAATGCTTTGCCGGCAGGTGGAAATTCCACGGTCCTGTGGTGGGGATCAGTCACTTCAACTTGATTTGGTGCTTTCGTGACTGCAGGAATTACTCTTTGGTTTTTTCGGTAAAGTCATGTAGAAATAAGAGATAATAATAAAATAAAATTACATAATAGCATACGACGTTTCGATTGCAACGCGAGCAATCGTCATGAGGTATATAAGAGCTAAATTTAAGAGAGAGAGAAAACACAGAGAGATGGAGAAGCACATCTAATTGAACAAGATTTAGTAAAATTTGGAAACAATATAATGCAGCACAGAGGGTAGTGTTTTGACCGACCCTCTGTGCTGCATTATATTGCATTATATTGTTTCCAAAATTTACTAAATCTTGTTCAATTTGATGTGCTTCTCCATCTCTCTGTGTTTCCTCTCTCTCTTCAATTTAGCTCTTCTATACCTGATGATGATTGCTCGCGTTGCAATCGAAACGTCGTATGCTATGATGCAATTTTATTTTATTATTATCAGTCACTTCATAGGACTAAAACTGCTGGCTTCCCACAAGGCGCATGGTGGGATTGGCTCCATGCTATAGCCTATGGAGCTCGGTGCACCAAGAGGAATTTGAAAATTCATAAAGGCAACACACCGTTCCGTAGTTGGGATGCTTGGGCTAGAGACAAGAATGAGATTGTTATTATTTAGAGTGGCAGATTTCAACCGCTTCTGATGGATATTGCTTTGGTCACGTGACATCACAGCATCTGGTTGCTGTCTGTGTATGTGTGCAACTTCATTTCACAGGACCCCTGGGCCACATGAGACCTACCACTTCAAAATAGCCTGCAAACGAGATTTATCCATCACTGCAAGCATCTCAGCTACTCGTCATAAGAACGCAGCACAGCAAAGCATGGACTAATATCGTCTGTCTCTTCTAAATGGGATTGAGCGTTGCCCTCTCGCGCACGAGCATTTTCTCCTGGTGCTCCGGTTCCCTCCCACACGTATTCACACTCATGAGTTGGCTGAAAATATTTTAATACATAGGAAACCACAGAGCTTCAGCAACTGTTGGTGCCGGCTCACTGCCTAGCTGCGGCTTTCCCCGATTATCTGTGGTTCCCCGTGCTCCCCGAGTCGTTCTCTCCCATCCAGAGTGAGCGCATTATATACGTTCAAATAATTATCGCTTGGTAACCGTGTGAGCAAGAGAGAACCAGTCGGAGGCATCACATTCGAGAGGGTTACGCCAACCCTCATTATAATTCACGTCCTGCGTGTTAACGTGTAGCCCGGCAGAAAGGAAAGTCTAGCTCGGCCCTCGGAAAGCAAACAGTTGACACAACCCTTGATTGGAGAAGCCAAAGGCCAGACGGACTTAATCCGGCAACTCACCTGGTTCCTGTCCTTGCGGCCCAGGGGGTATGGCCAGCACCTGAGCGAGAGGGTACCAGGCAACCGTATGATGAATACTGTGATGGATGCAAGGCCACCATATGCGGAACCCCCGCAAGCGCGGGCACACCAATGAGAATGCGTGTCCACATGTGTACAGCTGTGCACACACAACAATCCCTCGTATAGCCGACACAGACCGTAGGAGCAGGTGCTGTTAGCGAGCACCTACAAAGGCCAGCACGGCACACGAGTGGGTGGGTGACCAGCAACACGCCCGGCCGCCTTTGTCACCCGAGTGGAGATGTTTAGACACCGCACCAGGTACTAATTTTGAAGCTGAGTCGACCTAGGGGAGGCCCAGGATCGGTTCAAATAATCGTTACTGGTGTTGGCCGTGAGCGGGAGTTGAACTCTGACCGCCGGGATTTGGAGCGCAGCGCGCTAACTACTGCACTACCGCTCCCCACTGGACTGTGTGCGCACACACAGACTGACGCGCACGTACAGGCCAACGCACACAAGCCATATGTACATGAAGTGCCCGTTTGTCAATCCACTGCTGGATGAGGTTCGAGAGCCTACCAAACACACCATGAGGGTCGTGGAGATTATATGACCATGTAGGCTCCCCCGAGGCCTTCAAACTAAACTAGAAGTACTACATCTGACACCGTGATGTTGAAGCATGGGGCCCCCCCAAAGCGCGGGACCCGGGGCGGTCGCTCCGATTCGTCGTTAACCCCGGGATGACTTTGCTCGTCAGTCCAGGTTGGTGCCGGTGGGGAGTGTAGACGTGGGGGAGGCATGTAAGTAGTGTATAGTACAGTGGCTACCCATCAATGCACTTATCCAAACATGTTGTGGGCATTTAGCTTTATGTGCAAGGTGCTGATATGACTTTGTATTCATTGCCTCAAACATTCACGATATCTTCTCTTACATTTATTTCCACAGCAAAACAAACCTCCATAACAAACTCAACACTGCTTGAAATGACCGAGTGCGATTTCTTCCGATCGTCCTGTCTACCTCACTTCGAGGTTCCTTGTATCTTACACCTACGTTAGGAATTTGTGGTCGTGTTGATTTGCTTCCATACACTTACAAGTCCCGGTTCAAATTACTCTCACATTGCTGGATGCTTTCATCTTGTTGTGCAACTGTACACATTGCTGTACCTGCTTCTGTCTCTATTAACTGGGTTCTAACCTGGACTAGTCACGGGCTCTCACCTGGGATAGACATGGGCTGGGATAGGTACAGGCTCTCACCTGGGATAGACAAGGGTTCTCACCTGGGATAGATACGGGTTCTCACCTGGGATAGATACGGGCTCTCACCTGGGATAGGTACAGGCTCTGACCTGGGATAGACATGGGTTCTCACCTGGGACAAGTATGGGTTCTCACCTGGGATAGGTACGGGTTCTAACCTGGGACAAGTATGGGTTCTCACCTGGGATAGGTACGGGTTCTCACCTGGTAAAGACATAGGTTCTCACCTGGGATAGACATGGGTTCTCACCTGGGATAGGTACGGGCTCTCACCTGGGAAAGATACGGGCTCTCACCTGGGATAGACATGGGTTCTCACCTGGGATAGGTACGGTTCTCACCTGGGATAGGTACGGGTTCTCACCTGGGATAGACAAGGGTTCTCACCTGGGATAGGTGCGGGCTCTCACCTGGGACAAGTACGGGCTCTCACCTGGGATAGACATGGGTTCTCACCTGGGATAGGTACGGTTCTCACCTGGGATAGGTACGGGTTCTCACCTGGGATAGACAAGGGTTCTCACCTGGGATAGGTACGGGCTCTCACCTGGGACAAGTACGGGCTCTCACCTGGGATAGACATGGGTTCTCACCTGGGATAGGTACGGTTCTCACCTGGGATAGGTACGGGTTCTCACCTGGGATAGACAAGGGTTCTCACCTGGGATAGGTACGGGCTCTCACCTGGGACAAGTACGGACTCTCACCTGGGATAGACACGGGCTCTCACCTGGGATAGGTACGGGTTCTCACCTGGGATAGGTACGGGTTCTCACCTGGGATAGGTACGGGTTCTCATCTGGGATAGGTACAGGCTCTCACCTGGGATAGACCATGGGTTCTCATCTGGGATAGGTACGGGTTCTCACCTGGGATAGGTATGGGTTCTCCACCTGGTTGAACAGTGAAGATGTGTGTAGGCAGAGTGACGTGGCTGCTTGTGTAATAACTAGGCACGCTGTACGATGCATCAGTTCATTGACTAAAATCCATTCCCAAGCTCACAATACATGCATCGCATCAGGCATGTCAGAATGGATTACGTCTGATCTGTTCATGTAGTAATTGATTCATATAGGGGCCCCTACGTTCGCCACGATGTTACAAAATAATCAATCCCCAAATCAAATCTTGATTCGTGATCGTGACAAATCAAAGGGCCGAATTGTTACGAGCCGAAGATTAAGGACACAAAACTGGGTGCGAAATGATTGGATTTGCGAACATCGATAGGAAATTACTGCTAACACCATCGTGCATATACACTCACTGGGTGTAGGTGATTGATTGGTCACGGTGGACATGTGATGGTCGGATATGCGGCGCAGTACTTTCATATGGAAGGGGTTTCTGCATTGCGATGTTTCTGCCAAATATCCAGAGAAAATCCAAAAAACAGAGGCGATATAAACCTTCACACCACAGCGGCTAGGAACGCACACTCTGGCAAACTATTGTGTCGCACACAAGCTATGGTGTTACGCACACAAGCTATGATTTTACGCGCACAAGCTATGCCGTGTTGATGTTCCTTAATCAAGGTGGAGCCAGTACAACACAGGTCTGTTGCTGGTACAATAATATGGTGATCATTGCACCTGTCAAAAATAATTTGGCCTTTCAAAGCTTCCACATGTAGACAACATAGGAAACAGGTTTTCGTAATCTAAAGATCTGTTGTAGGTCGTACAACTCTTGCTTACTGTGTAAATTTCACATTCCAGCTCACGGCCTTATACTGCCCGCAACAATTCAATTACCGGGGGCTACTATAATGCAATGCCGCGATTCTCACTCTTCCACACACGTACGCGCGCACGCACGCACGACTTACTCGCGAGGGTGAACGTCCATGGAGTGGTGTGCCATCCTGTCACCGCCAACTCCACCAATGCCAGACAACTGTATTGGAACACACGCCCACAGACACACCGAGAGTCTGTTTAGCCTTAAAGATTAGGGGAAAGTGCCGTTAGCGAGCGCTGTTTAAGGCTGGAACCGGCGAATGAGACAGTGGTGTGGCCAGAGCCGTCCACACCCAACAGCTTTTGTGTTGTGAGTCATGATGTTAACGCAATGTACCACACACTTACTCATATAAGGTCGCATCAACCTAGGGGAGGCCCAGGACCGGTTCAGATACCACTTGGCACTTATGTGCACCACGGCAGGGAATTGAACTCAGGCAGCAGGGATTGTGGCACAGTGTACACTGCTTCTCCCACACACATGATGACGTTGATGCTGGTTTCAATGATGACATTTTATAACAATTTGGCTTTGGTGGTGGTCAACCAACGTTGAGTCAGAATTGGGGGGGGGAGTTGGGCGGAGGCAGATTATTTCAGGGACTGAAATGTGAAATTCCAAAGTAACAGTCGAATAAAATACTGCATCTACACACATGAGATGCGGTGAGAGAGAGCGAGGCAGTGTGTGTGTGTGGTGCGCGTGCGACACTGAGCCTGCATTAACGGCTGCCGTAAAGTGCTCGCGATTAAGCGTCTGATGATAACGGGACACTGGCGATTGGGTTAAAGAGTCCCGGGGTGGAGGCGCATCGATAGGTCGGCCGCCGGGGTCAAACAGCCGGGGTCAAGCCATCAGCGGTGGCGAGATGCCCCACCGTGATTGGGTATTAGCGGAGGGGCCTGGGCTGTGGCCGTCAGGCCAAAGCCGACACTAAGCCCGTGTGTAAATACTGCAGCCCTAATCTCCACTCCTCCGGCAAGTGTGAGCGGTGGTGCAGTGCTTCACAGAGAGTGTACTCAAGCTGGGGTCCATCCAAACCTGGGTTCGATTCCTGGTCATGAAGTGCATCTTCACTCGTGGGAAGTTGGTGTCTGAACTGAACCCTGCCCTAGGCCTCCTACAGGGCAACTCGCGTGGTGTGCTGCAGGCGTATGGAGTGTGTGTGTGTGCGTGGGATGGGGACGTCTGTGTGTTTGTGTTGTGTGTGGTTGGTGCAATGCCATACAAAGCCAGCGACCCCGGCACGATACCCACTCATGGCCAACATCAGTGACGAATATCTGAACCAGTCCCGGGCCTTCCCTAGATCCACTCGGCCTTACATGAGTACCTGGTGCAGTGTGTAAATGCAACACATTCGTTAAGAACAGTGCATTAAAAGAAAAAATATATAACAGACGATGTTTTGGGCAATGGCTCTTCTTCATGGCACATAAAGGTCAGAGAGGTAGAGTGGATCTTGGAGAATGCACATTATTCCAAGTGGCTCTCCTGAAAGAGTTTTGAGACAGAGTAACGCTATCCTAGGTATACAAGCAACATAATAACGCTCTTCATTGTCTTTCAATGCGACGAGTTTACCTTCAAACGAAGACGCGAGCCATAAATAAAGTAGCGTGACCAAACGAAGGCTGTGTCCTGAACTGACACGGAGTTTGAGTCACCGTTAATGAGAACAGAATACAAGTAAAATTGATGTTTCCTTTAATGGGAGGTGGCTGAGTGATCCAGAGGTCAGAGCACTGAGCTGGCAACAGCCGAGTCCTGGGTTCGAATCCAGCCTGTGATTAAACCAGGTTCGCAAGGACAGTGAATTTATGCTCTCGGCCCATTCATCAATGCCTGTACACTGAAAAAAACATCCCATTAAATTTGTTTCCGTGCGTAGTTTGGCTACATTCTGAATCTGGGAATTAAACGTATTGGGTTGACTGTCACGTGACAAACGATACTCCCAGTGGCCAGGTGGGAAAGTGGTGTGGACCAGAAAACGTAGAAAGGATCTCAAGAGGTAGCTTCGTGATATCTGCATTCGCGGGCCGTGCTGTGTGGAACAGAGTGTCACTTAAAGAAAAAGGGATATCACAGGTAGCTCTGCGATATCCACTTCAGTGGGTCGTTCTGTGTGGACCAGTGTCACTTCAAGAATCAGGGATCTCAGAAGTAGCTCTGTAATATCCACTTCAGTGGGCCTTTCGCTAACACAAAGGGCTCCACCACTCCGTGACAGATCTGAACAAATAATTTTATCTTGCGGCTCGGCACTCGATAGCGCGGTTGCGATAACTTTGTGGAAAATTATAAAGAGAATGCAAAGTTACGGTGAAGCACGTCATTAATGCACGGATCACCTCTACGACTGCCACGACGCAAATGCAGTGATTTCACGAAAGCGCCAGATCGCGGCTTTGAAGTCTTCTTTCTGAGTAACCGAGCTTCAAACTCACGTCAGCCAGCCCGGGACGCACAGCCTCAGCACGCATACCCCCAAGAGCAGTCTGAATTTACGGTGCTGCATCTTGCTTTTTCAAGCAAATGAAGCCAAATGGTACGAGCGAATCAATAATTGTCACCCGCACTTCACCAAACACACGGCAGTGCAATCTCAACCCCACGATGCGAAACAAACTCCCGTTGCTGCACATGAAAGAGTTAAGGGAGGTATGAGAGGGGCATTCTTGTCCCCCAGTTTAGTGCTCAGAATGACTGGTGGGGGCTGGGGTAGATTCAGCGTGGATCAATGTTTCTCTAGTAAGTTGACCTTGAAAGAGGGGGCGATTTGTGGGGGAGAGGAGGCGGAGGGAAGAGATGCAAGTGAATACGCACACACACACAAGGATGCACACACACAAGGATGTACACACACAAGGATGTACACGCATACACATACAAATACACACACACAAAAAGACAAAGAACCCCCATACATTTTGATTTAAAGCTTTCGTGACTGCAGGGATTCATATTTTTGGTTCTTTCGGTAAGGTCACGTGACTTTACCGAAAGAACCAAGAATATGAACCCCCATACAGCTTTTTACAGACTGTTGGGAAAAGTGCTATTCGCAGCAGACACCTGTATGGTGTGGCCAGCAAAATGTCTGGCCACCTTTGTCTCCCCAGTTCTGATTTTTACACACTGCACCAGGTACTTATTTAAAGCCATGCTGACCTCGGGGAGGTCCAGGACTGGTTCACATATTATTTGCACCTTTGGGTGCAACTCCTCCGTGTATGACAACGGTCCATGGAAGTGGGTACCACTGAGCTAATGCCTAATTTATTTAAGTTACCTTTTTCTTTATTTACCCATGCACCAGGGGGCACAAACGTTCTCACTCGCTTGGTCAATGAGAGTAATGTTCATCGTGCGACAGCCAAATCAATATATATCTCATTCTCAGAGATGTTTATTAATTAAGTGAAAAACCAAATCTAATATGACGGAGGAATTTTTTTAATGTAGTCATTGGTGACTGGGTTGAGACCATCCACTCAATACCACTTGAACACTCGGTTTAATCTGTTAAAACTATAAACTATGCATTTTCTATATTACCAGGTAAGGCCCACTGAGCTGTCTAACTCTTTTCCCGAAGAGACCTGGACGCAAATGATAGCTCAACAAAGTGGCTTCTCACGTGGAAATTTATACCAGCCAAATGTCCTAAACGCATGTTGATTCTAAATTTGGAGGGAAAAACCGGAGCACCCGGGAAAAAAATCCACTCTACTACGGGGAGAGAGACATGCAAACTCCAAATATAGAGCAGGCGTAAAGGTCGGGATCGAACCCACGACCTCCTGAATACCATGCGAGGTAGTTAACATCTCCTAGCCACCGTGGCGACTGCGTCTGCCTGGATTCGAACCCAGAGACTGAGCGGTGGGCGGCGGCGGATCGGTACTCTGACCCCTGAGCCACCCAGCCACCTACGGTGTCGTTGACAAAATAATAATTATTCCAGAACCAATCAAACCTTGTGTTATGTAAAGCACGGGCCGCGTGCGGGTTAGTGGGAGCCCGGCTCGCCGAGGTGCCGCGAGGGTACGTTTGAAGGGTAATTTTGTGACCCCGGTCGAAAACTAATTTCATTTAATTTTTTTAAGCCTAAACAAAAAAAATCAACGCTCGCGAGTGATTGCCGCTTGCAAAATTGATAGACAGGTTATGACGCATCTAATGTGGTTGCTTAGCAATGAACAATGAGCACTTTCAAGAATGTAAAGCACGAATGTAAATCCACAGGCATGCCAAAGACAAACACACGTATACACACACACATATACACATACACACGTATACACATACACACATATACACATACACACGTATACACATACACACGTATACACATACACACACGTATACACGCACACGTATACACGCACACGTATACACGCACACACGTATACACACGTATACACATACACACGTATACACGCACACACGTATACACATACACACGTATACACATACACACGTACACACGTATACAAGAACAAAGAGACCCATATATAGTCATATGGACAGAATATACAGGCCCTGTCAGTGAGCATTTATTGCAGATGGCGTGGCACACACGGGTGGGAAAATGTAGTACACGAAGCCCGTCCACCTTTGTTTCCCCAGTACTGATATTTACACACTAATTTACGGCCCAGTCAACCTAGCAGAGGCACAGGACCGGTGAAGATATCGCTCGGCATGAGTTGTTCACCATGACCGGGAATGGAACCTAGGTCACTGTGCTTAGATTGCAGCATGTTAACCACTACCCCAAGATAATAATCCCCTGTATAGCCTTAACAGAAGTTTGGGGCAAGTGCTGTCACCAAGCAACTATATGAAGGCTGGCGCGGTACATGAGGTGATGGGTGGTTGGCATCACGCCCGACCGCCTTTGTCAGTGGCTATATTTACACACCGCACCGGGTACTCATTTGAAGCCAAGTCGACCCAGGGGAGGCCTAGGACCAGTTCAGATAATCGTCACTGGTATTAGCCGTGAGCGGGAATCGAACTCGAAGTGACGGGTTCGTAGCGCAACGCGCTACCACTCCCCCCACATGCAAACACGCAGGCATACGCTACATTTAAACAAGACTCAAAGCACCACACAGATGCAGACACACACAAACGCACACATCGTTTACACAAAACACATGCTGGATCACGGAAACCAAAAGAAATCTGCGAAAGCCTTCTGGTCCTTCAATATCACACCAACATAGGTGGGTATTTTCACATTTTATACTTAGTGTAGGACCTAAGTAACTAAAACCTATTTCAAACTGAATACAAAATGCACTGGGTATCATAAATGAAATACACATCTGTACGTATTAGGTGCGCGCGCTTGACTAAGCCAAGCGGGGCGCTTCCGGGTGTTGCCTAGTGACCTGGGGGGGGGGAGGTCGATCTGAGAAGCCGCCGTACGCGCTCGGTGGCAGCTGGTTTAACGGTGACCTTCGAACTCAACCTGATGTTTGGCGTCAAAATTAGTGCCTCGAGCAATCCATCAGCACGGACGAAGAGAGATGTGCGCGCGAGCAACCATACGTGCGAAAATGGGCAAGCGCCGAGACTACCCCCACCCCCCCCCCCCCCCCGCCTGTTCGCAGGGCCGGGCTAGCCACCCGGGTTTCCAAACGCTGAACCCGATTCTCGTCCGGTATTGGTAGCGGGAACGTTTAGTAATGCGAGAGCGTGGAAGTATAAAGGAGAATTCCTCCTGCGAATGCGGGACGAAAACAATGGGAGCACATGGTCGATCGTCGACTGCCCATCAAGGCGTTTGAACGACGCGGCACCATCGCGATTCAACAGCTGACAGACAGCCGGCGCCGTTGAATGGCTAAATAACCCGAGCATCAATTTGAGTTGCTTATCTCTGAAGCACACCAGACAAGAGAAGAATGCGCAGTGATGGGGAAGGTGGCTTCTAAACGTAATGTCCTGAATTAATTGACGAACTCAACATATTCGGAAGTAAAGTGACACAGTTCCGTATTTTAGGTTTTTGAAGTGATACAATTGAACTAATTACTTGTACGATTACGTTGTTCGGATTTGCGCGAATCCTGTTGATTTAAATCCAGACGGGTGGCACTGTTCGTAGAGTGCTTGATCACAATTGAAATGTTCCAAGTTTAATTCCTGGTAGGGATCATCACTCCTGAGGTTGATAAAATGAGTGACACCTTGATTGAGGACATGAGCGAGCTAATGGAAGAGTGAACAAGCTTGTGAGTGGGTGATTTGGTGAGTGAATTAACACGTGAATAATTGAGTCAGCAAGTGATAGAGGGAGCATGCAAATGAGCGAGTGATTGTGTTATTGTGAGTGAAGTGAGGAAGCGAGTGAGCAAGCACTCATTTATAGAATTAATGAGTGCAGGAGTGAATAAACGTGTGACCGAGCGAGTCAGAATCTTTCATTTTGACTGCAGGACGAATCTGATGAGCTATAAAGCTCCTTTTCACAGATGTCCAGTAGGGACAGGTCACAAAGTTACAACAACAAACAATACAAAAACACAATAGGAGTGCCAATAATAAGAAAGGAAAGAAATTCACTAAAAAATATATATAACTGTTTATTTTACCAGGTAAACTCAGCTATTAGCTTTTTTTCAGCAGGGCAACCTGGCCACAAATGATAGTTAAAAAAAAATCTAAAAGCATGTTTAGATCAATTATTTAGATTAGTGAGCACTCAATAACATGAGTACGTGCGAGTCCGTGTGCGAGTGAGACAAGGAGTTATTCAATCATTGAGTGAATGCGCAAGTTGAGCAAGCGAGAGTGTAAGTGAATTGGCGAGTCAGTAAGCGTGGAGGGAGGTAATAGCAAGTGGGCCAGGGTACGGGTTGGTGAACGTCGCTCGTGAGTGATGCTGGTTTGTGAGCACACCTTCCCGGGGAGACGCCTCCGCCCCTTCCGGATGCTCCGCGCCGCCACTCCCGGCAGGCGGCTCAATCGTGCGTGGAACCCTGACCGTGACGATGCACGCACACAAAGACAAAGATCCCCCGTATAGCCTTAACAGACTGTTGGGGCAAGTGCTGTTAGCGAGCACCTATGGAGGCCGGCACGGCACACGAGGGGGTGGGGTGGCCAGCACCACGCCGGGCAGCCTTTGTATCCCCAGTGGCGATGTTTACACACCATACTAGGTAGTCATTTCATTTCGGAGTGCAGCGCGCTAACCGCTACCCTTCCACTGCACACACACACACACTGACTGTTGCGGCAAGTGCTGTTAGCGAGCACCTATGACGGGGTGAGTGGCCACGACCAGGCAAGGCCCGCTGTCTCCCCAATGCTGATGCTTGCACACTCACTTAAGGCTGAGTTGCACTAGGGGAGGCCCTGGACCGGTTCAGATATTGGTTACCAATGTAAAATGTGCAAGAGGGGGAATCGATCTCGCAATAATGCTCAACCCATACATGGACGCACACATACGGATGCATGGAATAATTAAATTTTAATCTCATTTAATTATTGCTTTGTTACGTACCACGTAACATAACACGCGGCGGAGGCGTGCCAGAACCAGGATTCCAACCCAGGAATACAAGGCTCGCAGCGCGAGGGCAGTACCCCTCCACTGCCCCCCCCCCCCGCCCCCCATTAGCGCACAGCCCATGCCAGCGTAGAGGGCAGAGAGGAGACGGTGGTGGCGGAGGGCCTGGGGACGGAGCGGCGGAGCCTCCATGTGTTCCCCGACGGGGCTGGGATCACATCTGTAGTCGCTGGTTGAAGCCATCTGCCCCCTGTGCTGGTCTGCATAGCCGCGGGGCCCCCCCCCCATGCATGTGAGGGCTGGTGTGCGTGTGCGAGTGCGCTCACTCGTGTACGACAATCACGATCACGATGATGATGATAACGATACCCACGCTGGTTACTCGCTATTTGAAAAATTAAAGCGTCTCTCCAATCAAAGGGGCAGGGGACAGAATGTGTCTCTGCTGGCGGTGCTGAGCCGGTGGTGGAAATTTCACATTCGTGTGGCGGGCAGTCAGGGGGCGGTTTAGTTTCATAAGACGACCACTTTTTACATGGTGGTAGTTAATTTATCGGCTCATACGTACTGGCTCAGAACTGTTAGTGAAGATGAGGACCACCCAATACCTGCGACAGCTCCCCGTGTTAATGATGGTCATGACATCAGTAGATGATGTCTGATGCAGATGATAATACGGATTATGCTGCCGCCGATTTTAATGATGGCGATACAGATGTTGTTATTGCCACACATTCAAGACCACCGACATGATGATCAGGATCATGGCGATGTCATCGCGATCACCATCGTCGCGATCACCATCGTCGAGGGAAAGATGGGAGCCTTTCACGCGGCCCACTCTGCTAAGTGAGAAACACCGACGAACGCCATCAACGCGGCGACCAAACACTGATCGTCGATCTCCCGGTTATCCAGAGCAACGACACGCCGCCAATGCCACTGCCACCCACCTCTGTGCCCCGTGCGGGAGAGCAGGGGGAATCCGCCAGCGAGGAGGCTGTGCAGGACGGGGTCTCCCGCATCGCGGTGCGCCGGCTGGGCGTGCAGCTCCCGCGGCCGCTGCCACCATGGCGGCACGGCCCCCACGCCGGGGCCCACCTCGCGGTCCGTCTCGCCGAACCAGTCGCTCTGCTCGTCGTCGGCTGACGGGGGCCAGGAGGTGGGCGACGGCACAGGCACACGCGCACGCACGCACACGAAGACAAAGATCCCCCACGTAGCCTTGTAGAATGTGGCAGCAAGTGCTGTTGGCGATCATTTACGGAGGCCAGCATGGCGCACAAAAGTATTGGTGTGGCCAGCACCACGCCCGGCTGCTTCTGTTCCCCCACTGGGCCCGTTTACACACGGCACCCAAGTACTCACACAAGAGCTGAAACGACCTAGTGGAGTCCAGGCCCGGTTTAGAAAATCACTCCCGATAACCACTCGCCACTGCCGTTGGCCGTGGTCGGGAATATAACTTGGGTTTCTCGGTTGCTAGTGCAGTGCATGAAGAACACGCAGCCGCCACCTGCCCACACACTCGCACCGTACGCGCACAGCCCTCACCTTGCCGCCCCTCGTCATTGGTGTACAGCCCCGCGTCGCTGCTGCCCAGACTGCTCGTGTCGCTGGTGTGGGGAGGTGAAGGTTTGTGGGACCAGATGCAGAAGTGACACGTACATTACATCAACATCATCAGAAAAATAATAACCTCTGTGGTAAATGTTCATGTTGTCCGAGAGGCGCTCGTGGGCTATAACACCGTAGGAATATGAGAAGTGTCGACGGCTTGGGAAGTTCGTCATCCACCAGTGGATTAAGTATGGTTAAAGATGAACTTATACTTTTTCCAAGTGGTCTGTTCATGCACGTGCGTATCCGTGTGTCCTGTCCGTTTGGCTTCACATTATGGTTTGATATATTGAGTTTTTTCTTATCTAAATCTGATATCTATGGAGTAACAGAAGACAAGGCAAATACTCCACGATTATTCAGATGAAACAGAAGGGAGATATTAGGAAAGTTACACATTTAACAGCGACAAGAGAAATACGCACCGAAATAAAATCTTTATGAACAGGGTTCACCTTATTCTTAGTTTCACCTTATCGCACTGTAATCTGCGACTACATATCTGCCATCACACATCTCTGTCTCACCTGCACCTATTTCCTCCAAATTCACCTAATCTCTAGTCTCTGCCTTTCATTATGATAATCAACATTCCAATGTGCCCAGGAATGAAAGTTTTCAATCGGTGTACATTACCTGATCCGGCACATGGATCATAAACATTAACACTGAAAAATTAAATGGGACTCAAAAGAGTGCAAAGTGTGGAAAAATATAACGAATGGCAAAGACATAAGGGGGTAATAACGTACCACGAAACAAACACGTGTGAGATACATAATTTGGATGATTAACGCTTTCCCATTCCTAAACGAATGCCACTTGCAGGGTGGGTCCCGTTCACTGCTGAATCTCGGAACACGCGAGCGGTTGAGCGTTAGAGGCATAGCGCCGTTGTTTTTAAAGTTATTGCACTCACCGCAGAGAACTGCAGTGACAGGACCGCACTCTATGATAGCTGGTGCCAAACTGTGCCACACGCCTTGCCATATGGCCTTGTGGGAGCATTGGTATCGATTAAGTTAGTATATATATTTTTTTCTTCTGGTTCCATTACGATGAGGTTATACGTACTTCATCGGAACGGAAATCGGAATGGGAAAGGATGAAGTAAAGTGGACTTGGGCAGATCACGCTCATGGAAAGAAAGGTCGGTAACACGTTCGCCACTTGTTACAAAGGTTTAGTGTTTTAATCTAGTGGCAGCCCTGGTTATTACGGAGGTGTTTTAATAACCATGAACAAAAAATGTGCTCCGTCTGCTCTACAGTGAAAGTTAAAGATTCTGTGACATCATTCAAAGAGAAGGCCATCGTGTGCTCACGTCACGGTACAAATTTACCAAATATAAAAAAATTACTTGCAAATTACTTAAATGGAAAACACATTGTAATCAACATCGCTCCTACTAAAAAAGACTTGCCAGAACTCTCCTGCAAAAAAGAGTCATGATATTCAGTGATGCTTTCCTGGGTAAACAAGCGTAGGAATAAAGATTACCGATAGATGTGGCAGGTGCCAGCATCGTAGGAAGGGAGGGGACACGTCAGAGAGGAGGTTCAGCAATGAGATCAAACTTGTGTGTAGGAGCAAGATCGGACTGTTGTATTGCAGGCTTGTGGGGAATGGTGGTGCCTGGCTGATGACAGTGAGAATGATAAGAGAGAGAGATGCCCCGACAAGGCAGAGACATCCACCCCCAGCACCAGCTGGCGTACCCGTCGCTCATGTTGTCATCCGAGTTCTTGTTGCCATCGTCCTCCTCGCAGTCCATCCCGTCTCGCCCGCCGCTCGCGCCCGCGGCTTCACGCATCGCTCCTCCCAGCTCCGCGTCCTCCCCCGTCTCCACGACAACGCCCTCGTCAGTTCCCTCGGCCCCCGCGCCGGGGGGCCCCCTGGCCCCCCACTCGACTCCCACTGCCCCTCTGCTGCTGCCGCCGCCGCCACCGCCACCGCCGCTGCCGCCCCCCCGTGCCAACCGCAGCTTCTTGTGGTGGCGCCACGCCGCCATGCCTGTGCCAACAACAAACTCACCACGTCATTCATCAGAATCATCGGCCATTGGCTATCCACTGCTGGATAGACAATGGCTGAAGGCCTCCCGCCCGTCTCACGCCGTCATCATAAAACTACAACACAGTTCGGGTTTATATAGCGTCTACAGACTACTCGCAGAGTGCCACTACACTTTGCGGGATACGACTCCATTGCTACAACTCCGCTCGCGCGGTTTAAGGTGCAGTGTTTGACACATTCCGCCTGGCCGAACGCAGCGCAGGACTCGGCTCCATCACAAGATGAGAGAAGATGCGCGCAGATGACCCCCACCTATCCCGAGTGACGTGACCACATGTACGTGGAGCACAAGACGGCTTGCTTCGCACATTTTGTGTGAAATCATTAGCGACGCCGATTCAAAGAGTTTACAAATGACAGAGTAACCATTCACCTTTGTTTTGAGCCACACTCAAATATTTGATGCACCTCTAGTTAATGAGACAGAACGATAAACATGCTGAAAACGAGACAAAAAGAAGCGATCCTTGAACCGAATGGCCATGGGACAGTTCATGGAATCACTGGGTGGGAGGGTAAACTGTCACATACCCAATATTGAGGAATGCCTCGTCAGATTCAAAGCCATTTTCACTTACTAACTCCACTCATAGGCCGAGCTCAGGCAAAACAAAAACAGAAAACAGGAATCGAAGATCCATTCATTTCAATCGGATTGGCTGGCAGCCACTTCGGCGGCACTGGGCGGCCGAGACCCGCGACGTTTACCCGCGGAGCGTACCTAAGAGCAGGCCGGGTCCCATGTAGCCCCTGCCGGCCGATGCCACGGGGGGGCAGAAGGGTGGGTGCGAGCAGAGGGGGGGCTCGTTGGCGGTTGCCGTGGCAACGCCTCCCCGCGTGGTGGGGGTGGAGACGGCGGGGGGGTCGACGGCCATACGCTTGACCTTGCGGCGCCGGCGGGTGGTGCGTCCTGGGCCGCTCTCCGGGAACGAGTCCGACTCGTGCCTGCAGCGGTGACCGAAGGTGCAACATGAGCGTCTTGAGCATGTGGGCGGTGTCCGTCCGTGCGTGCGTGCGTGTGAGAGTCTGCTGTCTGTGAGTCTGCTGTGTGTGCGCGTCTATGGAGGAGGCTCGTGAAGGTCATTTGGAGGCAGTCGCCCTCCAACAACAACGAAGGGCAGAGGAGCGACGCTCACAACAACGAGCCGAGTGCCGGGTGGCTAAAAGGCAGAAAGTTGGCACAGCAGGGGGCACAGTTGGGTGCATCTGCCAGTCATCTCAGTCAATCAACCCATGGCACCTGGGTCTGTCATGTGATCTCCTGTCAGCGAGCCTTCGACACGTCATGCGGCCTCAAAGCGCACCCGGCCTGACAGAGGTGTCGTGGTGACGTCATCGTCACTTAGTGGTGAACGGCGGGTATTTGTATCGGTGTGTGCAAGTCTGCGTGCGAGAGGCAATGGCTGGACGTGTGAGGAGGCGCGAAGATTTGCATTGCTCCACAAGAGAACGTCGCATGACACCGACAACACAAGCGGGATATTATTTGGGGGGAAAAAAAAATCCTCCTCTTTACAAAAAGCAACGGCAGCGCTAACAACGCGAGCGACCCGCCCCACGGTCGTTACCACCACCACTAATCACCACCGCCGCCCTCACTGTCGCTTGCCAGGAGTGGCGCGCGGGCACCAGCGTTGGCGACACCAGCACGGGGGACACGGCTGCGACGACGGTCACGGTGCTCCCGGGCGGCGCGCTCGTCGGCGGGCCGAGCGGAGCGGCCACGGCGCCGCACGGGCGCAGCGCGACGGCGTTGAGCGACGACGACGACGAGGCAGACGCCAGGCGCAGGCGGCGCGCGCACAGAGCCTCGTCCGAGTCGCTGTTCCCCGCGGTCGCGGCGGGCACAGGACCTGGCGCGGTGACAGCGGTGCGGTCATGGCAGCAGGGGCGGCAGCGGCCGGAACGTTCGCGGCAGTAGCAACGGCGACAATGCAAAAGGATGAGAGGCGAAAGGCTCACCCCCGCAGGCAGCCGCGACGTCGATGGCCGCGCCGGCGCCCACGACGGCGACGTTAGCGGGACCGCTTTTACCCAACGTCCCTTCCTCCTGGCTCGACTCGGAGCCCTCGCTCAGGTACCCGCGTGCCGCCGCCGTCGCCGACGCAGGTGGGCGCGCGAGCAGCGCCGGCGCCAGGTTCAGCGCGTGCTCCCCGCGCCGCTTGCGTCCTCGCCGCTTGCGCGCCTGCCGCCGAAGCTGCCGGGGGCTCAGGGCTCCGCCGGGCGGCGGGGGCGGCAGAGGAGGCGGCGGCGGTGCCGGCGCCGGGGGGGGTAGCCGGCCCCACTCGACGGCAACGGCCCTCTCCTCGTCGTCCTCCTCGTCGTCCTCCTCCTGCTCCGGCTCCTGCTCCTCCTCCGCCGCTGCCGCTGCTCGTGCCTTGTTCTGCGCCGACGTCTCTTCCAGAGCCGACGCTAGGTCGTGCACGAGCTCGTCCATGGTGCCGGCGGTGTTTTGGAGTATGACGTGTGACGGGTAATAGCGGTCCCCTCTTATCGGACTACTTCAGGTTATCCTCTATTATTGTTATTCTGTGATCACGTTGTTGACCACAGATTACAGCTGAATACTTTGTCGCGGTGCGTTCATTTTAAAATTGCGAAAATCATTTGGCAAACGACCGGGTGGGACAATCGCGCCGGCAGCGAGGATGGTGGCAATGCGTTCAGATCGCACCACAAGGCTGATAATTATCGAGCGGTCACGTGGTAATGTGGCGAAGGAAACTGTGAAAATATAAAATAAGGGGTGAAGTTACGCTACCGTTGAAACGTCAAGTAATGAGTAATAAGATACTGATGCCTTTTTAAAAGTAACCCTGCCTGTCGGTGTTAACACTCGAGCTACTACACAAAGGTGCTTAATGCTTGGCTACTACTGCGGAAGGCTTCGCTTTTATTCGAAATATTCTTGCATTTTGCTCTTATGATACCGGCAAGATTCTATGACATTGCAATGTGCGTCAAACGCAATCTAAGAAAAATCAGTGAAAACACGTACGTGCAAATTTGGAATGAAACTCGACACCACTGCATCGCTACGCACATAGAAAGAGGGCATGCATTCCACGTTTGCTCGTTTAATACTCACCTACGCACGAGGGTGGGCACAACGCATGCGTGCTTGGCGCTACATTCCCATGTTAAACATATACAACGGGTGAACGTTCATACGTTAAAACGCACCTATTTAACAAGCCTATGGACTGAAAAAATAACCCTACGAATTGGCAAATACTGTTATAAAGTTTGCAGCATTAACAAAAAAAATACTTTATTTTGTTTGTGGCAAATACAGTGAAATGTAATGCTTCCTGTGAGTAAACTTGAATTCCTCTATACTGGTTGTGGGTAAACTACACTTACATGTGAGACGGACTTGAACCTACAACAACACTGGCTTGTAACAGCTCTTTACGGTTTAAAGCTGACTGAAGGTGACATGAGCTGGATCTCATATCTGTGGGTCCCGTGTGGAAGTCTTTGGGCGTTCAATCGTCTTGTTCGTCAATCTGAATGCAGAAAACCCTGTTACAAACACACACACAAAGTTGTATGAGCACGTGCTCGTTTGCAACACACGCTTCGGCGTACACTTTAACATCAAGCCATGCAGGGACCCCTAAAAGTGCGAAGAATAACCCAAAAGCCCTGTGCCTACTCCGTAGCTATAAACCTGTACTGTTCACCCCGTATTCTTGTACAGGGAAGTTTTTCAGGTCCATACGGCAGTACAGACGTTTCAATACGGGCACAATTTTTTTTTGTCTTTTTGTTTGTGTTTCTCCCTTGTGATGGGACTTTGTAGGATGAACGTTGAGATTTATAAGGGCACGGGGTGACCAATAAGGTCTGAATTGGTTTGTTATAAGGTAGGGCACTCATTAAGGGGTTGACAGGTATATAGCGGTGTTGGTGATGATGGTGGTGTTGGTGTTGATGGTGGTGATGATGGTGGTGTTGGTGTTGGTGATGATGGTGGTGTTGGTGATGATGGTGGTGTTGGTGATGATGGTGATGATGGTGGTGTTGGTGTTGATGTTGGTGATGATGGTGGTGTTGGTGATGATGGTGGTGTTGGTGTTGATGGTGGTGTTGGTGATGATGGTGGTGTTGGTGTTGATGGTGGTGTTGGTGATGATGGTGGTGTTGGTGATGATGGTGGTGTTGGTGATGATGGTGGTGTTGGTGATGATGGTGGTTTCATACCTGTCAACCGATACAGTTTACTCTGTATTCTGGTACAGAAAAATTTGAGTTTTCAGGTCCATATGGCGTACAGCCGTTTCAATGCGGGCAAATAATACTAATTGTCTATTTGTGTTTTTCCCTTGTGATGGGACTTTATAGGATGAACGTTGATATTTATAAGGGCACGGGTAACCAATAAGGTGTGAATTGGTCTGCGATAAGGTAGGTACTGATAAGGGGTTGAGAGGTTTGCTATTCGATGTAGGCGTTGGTTGACCAGGTCAACAAAACAACTTTCATAACATATTCTTAGTTTTTTCGGTAAAGTCACATTGAAGAGAAACAACAAAATATATATAAAACAATAAAAATTCTCACGACGTTTCGACCATAACTCAAACGGTCATCATCAGGTGTGTTTTATATATATTTTGTTATTTTGTTGTTTCTCTTCAACGTGACTTTACCGAAAAAACTAAGAATATGAATTACTGCAGTCACGAAAGCTTTAAATCAAAACTTTCATAACAATCTAGATTTGAAGTTTTCGTGACTGCAGGTGATCCATACTCTTTGATTCTTTCGGTAAAGTCACGTGGGTAGAAAATAAAATAAATTAAGTCACGACGTTTCGGGCGCAACACATGTGTCCGTCATCAGGTGGGACAACCACAGCAAGAAACAATTGCTGAATTTCGATTTAAAGCTTTCGTGACTGCAGGGATTCATCTTCTTTGGTTCTTTCGGTAAGGTCACGTAGAATGAGAATAAAATAATAAAATAAGACAATAAAATTCTCACGACGTTTCGGCCACAACATAAGTAGCCTCCTTCAGGTGAACACCTGAAGGCTACTTGTGTTGTGGTCGAAACGTCGTGAGAATTTTATAGTCTTATTTTATTTTATTCTCATTCTACGTGACTTTACCGAAAGAACCAAAGAACATGATAAAATTATTTTACTATAAAACGTAATAAAATTATTTTATCATAAAACATAACAAAAAAAGTTACTGTTTAATTTTTATTATTTTATTATTTCCCTTCTACGTGACTTCACCGATGACGGACGCTTGTGTTGCGCCCGAAACGTCGTGATTTATTTTATGCCTACGTCACTTTACCGAAAGTGTTCATGCTCTCTTAACCACCCAATCAAAGTGCATTCAAACACTCAAAAACCCCACACTGTTTTGAGCACTCACAAACCAGTTGTAACCGCGCTCTGAGCATCTGTATCACAACTCTCATAACACTCATAACCATCGGTTTAATGACGCTTGCAAAAGCTCCAAGCGGCCTTATTCAAACGTTCAGCCGCTTTAAACCACACAGTGGTCTTTAACCAAACCCAGTCGGAACTGCACTCTCGCGATCGTAACGTTAACCACAGTTCGTGAGCAACAGCAACAACAATCGCCTTTCGTCATGAAGTGGCCATCACGGCGCTTGTGCCAGGCTAGGTGCACCTTCAATAACACACAAAGATCCCGCCCGTGATGCCTTAACAGGCTGTTAGCTATGAAGGCTGGAACGGCACACGAGGGGGTGTGTGGACAGCACCACGCCCGGCCGCCTTTGTCTCCCCAGTGGCGATGTTTACTACACACCGCACCAGGTACTCGTTTGAGGTTGAGTCGACGTTTGTGACTAACACACAAACACCGGGTGACTAACACACACACACGGCGTGACTAACACACACGGCGTGACTAACACACACACCCTGACTAACACACACACGGCGTGACTAACACACACACGGCGTGACTAACACACACACGGCGTGACTAACACACACACCCTGACTAACACACACGGCGTGACTAACACACACGGCGTGACTAACACACACCGTGACTAACACACACACACCGTGACTAACACACACACACCCTGACTAACACACACACCGTGACTAACACACACAGCGTGACTAACACACACACGGCGTGACTAACACACAGCGTGACTAACACACACGGCGTGACTAACACACACACCGTGACTAACACACACACACGGCGTGACTAACACACACGGCGTGACTAACACACACACACGGCGTGACTAACACACACGGTGTGACTAACACACACGGCGTGACTAACACACACACACCGTGACTAACACACACACGGCGTGACTAACACACACGGCGTGACTAACACACACGGCGTGACTAACAAACACACACGGCGTGACTAACACACACGGCGTGACTAACACACACACGGCGTGACTAACACACACACACGGCGTGACTAACACACACACCGTGACTAACACACACACCGTGACTAACACACACACGGCGTGACTAACACACACACCGTGACTAACACACACGGCGTGACTAACACACACACCGTGACTAACACACACACGGCGTGACTAACACACACACAGCGTGACTAACACACACACGGCGTGACTAACACACACACCGTGACTAACACACACGGCGTGACTAACACACACACACCGTGACTAACACACATACGGCGTGACTAACACACACACGGCGTGACTAACACACACACACGGCGTGACTAACACACACGGCGTGACTAACACACACACGGCGTGACTAACACACACACGGCGTGACTAACACACACACAGCGTGACTAACACACACACACAGCGTGACTAACACACACACACACCGTCACTAACACACACGGCGTGACTAACACACACACACACCGTGACTAACACATACAGCGTGACTAACACACACACGGCGTGACTAACACACATACAGCGTGACTAACACACACACGGCGTGACTAACACACACACAGCGTGACTAACACACACACACACCGTGACTAACACACATACAGCGTGACTAACACACACACGGCGTGACTAACACACACACGGCGTGACTAACACACACACGGCGTGTCTAACACACACACAGCGTGACTAACACACACACACAGCGTGACTAACACACACACACACCGTCACTAACACACACGGCGTGACTAACACACACACACCGTGACTAACACATACAGCGTGACTAACACACACACGGCGTGACTAACACACATACGGCGTGACTAACACACACACGGCGTGACCAACACACACACAGCGTGACTAACACACACACACACCGTGACTAACACACATACGGCGTGACTAACACACACACGGCGTGACTAACACACACGGCGTGACTAACACACATACGGCGTGACTAACACACACACGGCGTGACTAACACACACGGCGTGACTAACACACACGGCGTGACTAACACACACACATGGCGTGACTAACACACACACACGGCGTGACTAACACACACACGGCGTGACTAACACACACACACGGCGTGACTAACACACACACGGCGTGACTAACACACACACGGCGTGACTAACACACACACGGCGTGACTAACACACACACGGCGTGACTAACACACACACGGCGTGACTAACACACACACGGCGTGACTAACACACACACGGCGTGACTAACACACACACACGGCGTGACTAACACACACACACGGCGTGACTAACACACACTCCATCATCACCAGTCATCCGGCTGGCATTATTCGTGTCGCAGCAGCAGCTACAGCATCAACAGCGTCATTATCCCCAGTTAGTCACCAACAAACAAATCGCCTGATAGAGCCATGACCACGTTACAGTAACGTCGGTGTTGTTGTTGTCGGTGTTGTTGTTGTCGGTGTTGTTGTCGTTGTTGTTGTTGGGGAGGGGGAACTCACTGCCGAGCTCTCGAACACGAATCGACGCCCGGCCGCGCTCGCGTCAACAACGCGACGCTTTATTTTTTTTATTTTGCGTCGTTCTTGCGAACGCGATCGGTAACGCAAGCAAGCGCTGCCTGTGTCACAACAACAACGACAACAACAAAGACGACGACGACGACATGTTAAGCGCCGTCGGTGCGTCTCTCCTCCCTTACCGCCTCGCCCCTCGTTGCTCGTTCAACGTCTCACGCTGGCGGGGGGTGGGGGTGTGAGAGTCCCCGATAGGCAACGTGAGGCCGGGGCCATCGCCATCTTGGGTAAGGGGAAACAGAAAAAAATGTCGGCGCCCATCTTGGTTAAGGGGTAGCGGTCGGAGGGGGGTGACGTCACTGGCGGGCGACGCGGCCCCTTGCACGTGGTGGGGGTAAATAAGTCCGGATTCGCACGTAGCAGCGGTGGGAGCAGTAAGAGGCTTTCGCGACCAGTGTTATCCATATAACCCATAGCCGTCACAAACCCACACGGTTTTTATTAGCTTGTGTTCTTGTACGGGGAAATTGAGTTTGCAGGTTCGTACGGCGCAACGCCGTTTCAACAGGGGTACGAACATTTTACTGGTAGGAACCTTTAGTTTCAGTTTTATTTATTTTGGTATAGCCCTGTGAGCCATTCGGCTCTTGAATCGGGTGCAACCGCAACAAACAAAAAAACACGAACAAGAAAACATCTTAAAGTGACTATGTGACTGTGCAAACAGAAAAGCGATGAAAAAACAGCAAAATATTCCTGAAAAAGCACCGTACACCAACGCTGTGTGCAAAAATCCCAGTGGGATGCAAGTCAAACAACATCATCCACAAGAATACTTAGATTAAGGCCATCAGTCTAACTCCGTACTACAACAAAACAAACATGTCCAACAAATAAAGCCATAATTGCAATGTAACAGTGATCATATGGACTGTGACCGAATTTCTTCCAATAAACTACATAAATAACATGTAACACCAAACCCTTAGAGCCATAGCTGGCTGCATGAGTTACTCCACAACAACAGAAGCATCAGTCGGAGTATCACATTTTTCAATGCACATTTAAGATCAGCACCCAGTCAAGGCTACCCACCCCCCTCTCTCACCCAAATTCCCTGACCCGCGTGGTGAAGTATGGTGAAATATAGTGAAACAGCCCTCACAATGACTGACAAAGCATGCGGAAGCATTTAAAGGATATTATATTCGTATTACTTAATGTATGTTACACCACAGACATCCATTGCTCATGAGAAATAAAAAAATGCTTTTCTGGCACCCGACACAGAAGTGTGGCAATTCGTTCTCACCAATTCCTACTTTTAATTTAAAAAAAACTGCCCGGCACTGTGGAGACTGCAGAAAGAGAGCGGCGGTGCAGAGCGCACAAATGTTGGGAAACTCCCATTCCCGTGGGTGTCGAGGGGGAGCGATGTATCCCGGGACTTGCCAACGGAAGGTGGTGGTGGTGGTAGTACAGCAAAAACGGGGAAGAATTTCAAACTTAAAATCTGTGATCTGGTTCCGTCTGTAAAAGATGTCATTCCGGACATACAGTACCCTGGTGTCTACAAACTAAGTTGCCTCTGTGGTAGTAGTTACATTGGAGAAACCAAACGCCATGTCTCGGACCGCATTCGTGAACACAAAGCAGACCTGAAACACGGTAGGACCAACACCTCGGCCGTGGCAGATCATTGTTATAATTCAGTAGGCTCACATGACATTGACTTCTCCAAGACAGAGGTTCTTTGTAAGCCATCTGGCTACCATGAGAGATTCGTTCATGAGGCTATCCACATATACAAACACAGAGACAATTTCAACCGAGAAGATGGATTCTGGCTTAGCAATCATTGGAAGGATTTGATAAACCATTTCAGGTCTTAATTGATTGTTCACGCTTACGGTGGCTTTCAGACAGGATACATTAATTTTTCGTCTCCCCCTTCCTCTTTTCAGAACATAGATGGACTCGTCCTTCTAAATAAACTGCCAAATCGCTGCCGGTGGTGCTAACGTTTTTTTTTATAAATAAATACACCTTTAAAAATAAATTAATGCAAACCGCCACTTCTTTCAAATGTTTCTTGCCGTTGGTTTTTGTTCACACCTGATGACGACCGTTTGTGTTATGGTCGAAACGTCGTGAGAATTTTTTGTATTGTTTTATATATATTTTATTATTTTATTGTTTCCCTTCAACGTGACTTTACCGAAAGAGCTAAGAATATTAACAGGTTTTGTTGGGTTAGATCGCGTAAATACAGAAATGTGTCGCCAAACCTGCCACCACCCGACACAGCCAACTATTGGCACGTTCTGTTTACGTGACACTAAACCTTACTAATCGGCTGTGCCGGGTGGTGGCGGGTTCAACAACACATCTATACACCTACGCGATCCAACCCAAAACACCTGTATTATGGTTGATACTGGTCGCGAAAGCTTACGTGTTAAACTGAATATCACACTGTCCCTCGTGTACAGAAATCAGAATCTGCATTTAGACTGCAGGAAGAAATCCGATGAGCTATGGAGCTCTTTTTCCCCCCACAGATGTCCAGCACGGGGCAAGGGCTCAGCGAGTTTACAACAACAGACGATGCCAACAAAACGATAGGAGTGCAACATCGATTCGAAGGTAAGCAAGTCACTAAATATCGGTCAATAAACGATGCATTAATTGCGCGAGTCTGATGTATCAATCTTGCGCAGGGCAGCAAAAACAACAGCAACGCAGTCCCAGACCACAGCAAGATACCAACCACACAGTACAGTAGTAGTCCCTCAATAAAATGGCATAATAACATTGAACTATCGATACACGGGTGGTAAGATTCATATGTGCAAGTCGCATATTGCCCCCCAGTTACACAAATTATTTTTCTCCGGGTGGATTCCGGTTTCCTCCCACGCGTATAAACACCAGATTCATCGCCTGAAACTATCTTTAAAAACTAAACAATGTTTTTATTTGAGCAGATAAGGCCTCACTGAGCTGTGTAAGCTTTTTTTCAGAAGCGACCTGGCCACAAATGATAGCTCAACGAAGTGGCTTACAATGACGTGGGAATGTATAGCAGTAGTCAAATACTCTAAACGCGTGATGTTAATTCTAAACGGAGGGAAAAATCGGAGGACCCAGAGAAAAATCCACGCGACCACGGGGAGAGAAACACACAAACTCCAAATATACAGCAGGAATCACAGTCGGGATCAAACCCACGACCTCTTGAATACCAGGCGAGGGAGTTAACATCTCGCCACCGTGACAAATCTTTATATATACAGCACCGTAAAGCTTGGGCAATTATTGGTAGTGCGTGGCTCACTCCCTGGCTGTTGCTGCCTTCTCGATTGGCCGTGGTTCCTTCTGGCACCTCCCGAGTTGCACAAAGTGCTCGCCACAAATGAACCACAACGCCTCGCTGATCTCGCCAAGGAGCGTAAACCATCACCACGCAAACTGCGGTCATCCTCACAGCAGGCAGCGGCTTTTGGCACAGCCATCGAACAGAGGCGGTGGTCACCGCATCACGCGCCGCTTTCAGATGCGCTTCTGCGGCCGTCTGGAACGCTCTTCCTTCCGATATTAGGAAGCCACTGACAGCTGTGCACTCGTCGAGATGGACAAACTCATTTATTTAGGAACTGCTTTTTGTGTTTAGTTTGTTCTTCCCCCCGCACCTCCCATTAGCGCAGTTGGCTTAACTTCCGTTTCACGTTGACATCCTTCGAACTGTCACTGATTGTCTTGAACCTCCTGGTTACACCACCAGCCCACAGGGGATTATTGTGTTCGTCCGTCCGTCGTGCATCCAAAAATGGGAGGGGTGGGGCTGGGTGGAGAGGGGAGGGTGGGGAGGGAGGGGCTGGATGGGGAGGGTGGGGCTGGGTGGGGAGGGGCTGGTCACCCCGTGGTGCCCTTATAAAACTCAACGTTTAACCTACTCACGCCGGCTTGTGCCCGCCCTCACAGTCGGGCATATTTGCGGAATACACCACGTGGTGCCGCCGTTGTTGACCCTGGCCATTGACCGAGCAACCCAACATTCCTACCAGCTCCCTCCGCAGGAATGTGTTTAAGTGCGACTTAACACGCAGCTGTAGTAGCAGCAATAGGCTTTGGCGACCACTGTTACCCATAATCCATAGCCGTCACAACCCCACACGGTGTATTCGCTCGTATTAACTACGGGGAAATTGAGTTTTCAGGTCAGTACGGCGTACAGCCGTTTCAATAGGGGCACGAACATTGTTTTTTTCTGTGTTTCTCTCCTGTGATGGGACTTTGTCGAGTGAACGTTGAGATTTGTAAGGGCACGGGGTGACCAATCAGGGCTGAAATGGTCTGTTAAAAGGTAAGGGTTTGACAGGTATGATAAGAGGGGGAGGGGTTTGCGGTGAGGATCGCGTAAATAAAAATGTGAGTCGTTAAATTCGCCACCACCCAGACAGCCGATTAGTAAGGGTTGTGTCACGTAAACAGAATCGTGGCCAATTCCTTTACTGGTGCAGCCAAACTCCCGGCGTGTTGGAGAGTGAACCCACTACGTCGTTTACAATTCGACTACCGCGACGTTCCGCCGGTAATTGCAACAACCAGCATCATCAGGTGACAGATTTGTGGGGAAATCCTCCTCCTGCTTCGTCCTTAAATAGATGGGATGAATGTGATTGTGATGGAATGGAGGCAAACCTGTCAGCAACCCCTTATCAGTGCCCTACCGTACCTTATTACCGACCAATTCAGACCTGATTGGTCACCCCGTGCCCTTTTAAATCTCAACGTTCATTCTACAAAGTCCCATCACAAGGGAGAAACACAAATGAAATTGCCCGCATTGAAACGGCTGTACACCGTATGGACCTGAACACTGAAATTCCTCTGTACCAGAATACAAAGTAAACTGTATCGGTTGACAGGTATGAAACCACCATCATCGCCAACATCATCATCAACACCAACACCACCATCATCACTAACACCACCATCATCGCCAACATCATCATCATCACCAATACCACCATCATCACTAACACCATCATCGCCAACACCACCATCATCACCAACACCACCATCAACACCAACACCACCATCATCACCAACACCACCATCATCACCAACACCACCATCAACACCAACAACACCATCACTACCAACACCACCATCA